GCCAAAGACCCGGGTTCGATTCCCCACATGGGCATAATGTGTGAAGCCCATTTCTGGTGTCCCCCTGCCATGATATTGCTAGAATATTGCTAAAAAGCGGCATAAAACTGAACTCACTCACTCACTCCAGGTCAAGACTATTGCATCCTATTCATTTGTTAATTGAGAAGAGGCACAAACAATTTACATTGGCAAGCCCTGATCATGATATTGCATGACTATTGATCAAACACAAGAGAAAATGTGAAAATTATATTCGTTTTTGAATAGCTGAAGTATGCGTCAACTGTATGTTGGAAGTTATTGTTGATCAGCTAATTTTGTGTTTCATGGATCATGTTATTGTATGTCAGATCAGTGATAAAGGCTGACAGTCATGATAATTACTACAAGACACTTCTTTTGCAACATGAAACGCCTTTAAAAACAAGAGCTACAAAGGAATACCGTATTCACCATTATAAGAAACTAGAAAAGTCATTTGGAGCATGGTGTTTTATGTGGTACATGCACTACAAATTTGATTTTGGCGTGGCACAGGCAGAAACAAGAAATATGTATATCAAAAGATAATTGTGCATTTTTTCTTATTCGCTGAGTGATTATCCTTAAAATGTGAAATTACTAAAACCATTAGATATTTGCTGCCAAAGAGCTTGATGATATTCTGACTGGGGTAGTGTTTAGATGAGACTTGATACTGTGTGTGGGTGGCTCACTATTGGTGAAACTGACCACATTCTCTGCGATATAATCCCAGGACTCTACAAGTCTTGGTTGATATTCTGACTGGGGTTACTAAGTGTTTAGATGAGACTTGATACTGTGTGTGGGTGGCTCACTGTTGGTGAAACTGACAACATTCTCTGCTACATGGTCCCAGGACTCTACAAGTCTTGGTTGATATTCTGACTGGGGTAGTGTTTAGATGAGACTTGATACTGTGTGTGGGTGGCTCACTGTTGGTGAAACTGACCACATTCTCTGCTACATGGTCCCAGGACTCTACAAGTCTTGGTTGATATTCTGACTGGGGTAGTGTTTAGATGAGACTTGATACTGTGTGTGGGTGGCTCACTATTGGTGAAACTGACCACATTCTCTGCTACATGGTCCCAGGACTCTACAAGTCTTGGTTGATATTCTGAGGGTTACTAAGTAGTGTTTAGATGAGACTTGATACTGTGTGTGGGTGGCTCACTGTTGGTGAAACTGACCACATTCTCTGCTTATGGTCCCAGGACTCTACAAGTCTTGGTTGATATTCTGACTGGGGTAGTGTTTAGATGAGACTTGATACTGTGTGTGGGTGGCTCACTGTTGGTGAAACTGACCACATTCTCTGCTGCATGGTCCCAGGACTCTTCAAGTCTTGGTTGATAGTGTTCATCCCAACCAACATTACACATGACCATCCAGCTACCATCCAGCTCCCATCCCTCCAGGCTTTAATTACCCTGATTGCATGTTGAGCTGTATTAGCTGAATCAATAAGTAATCCCACAAGACATCGGAGGTGGCCTACAACCCACTTTGTGTCATACAGATATGTATTGATCACTAAAACACCCTAAATGTTAGCGTTATCTATGGTTTCATAAGTTGTCAAAGCAAATCACTGATGTGCTGAAATGCGTGTTCTCCGTTCTGGGATGCTTAGACGTTTGTTGTAATTTGTCATTGAATGTGAATCCTTTGTCCATAGAGCCATTCATATGGCTGGTATGTGTGTGGTAAGTTGTTATTGAATGTGAACCATGGCTCCAAGAGATGGCCATTCATCTTGGCAGTATCAGTGTAGAAGATTCTGGTTTTCTACTTGATAAGCACATCCTCAGCTATAGATATTATGGTAAGAATTGAGGTCATGTTTGATGATTGAGGTTGATCTGGATCATGGTTTTGGGTTTTATTGAAATGTTTGCTTGTTTTCTCATTCAATGTTCCCTGGTGTTTGGAGATAAATATTGGTTTATTATTGAGGTTCTGATCATCTTAGTTTCGTGAAGTGCAAGGAGGTGTTGATGAGGAAAGGTCTGATCACATTTCGAAAAGAACCTGAATCTGTGAATGGAAGTGTATAGTATGCTGGTTCTTCTGATTGATTTCAACAATCACTGTCTGCTAGTGCTGGTTATCGCTGACAATATGCAAATAGATAAACAGAGCTGAGTAATCGATCAATAATCATTGTAATCGTAAACCCCACCACTAAACTCATGTGGGCAATAAAGGAATACAATCATAACACTGTACTTATGAAACAGGCACCGATTGATAATACTGCGATCAAGGCGGGTCGAGGATACTTCGTTTTGAGACATGTTTGCGAGTATGTTGTTAAATTGCCGTTTTAAGAGTCGGGAAGCTGTGTGTGTGTCTGTTTGTGTCTTGATGTAACAAACATAACAATAAGAAACATACTCTCTGAAGTTTAGTTTCATGTTTCATTATTTTTGAATGTCAGTTCCTGAGCCCATCAACAGTCGGGGGAAGGTGGGTTAGCCTCGTGGTTCAGGTGTTACCTCGTCACACCGAAGATCCAGGTTTGATTCCCCATACTGGTTCAATATGTGAAGTCCATATCTGGTATCCCACAGGGATTTACATGGAGTCCTGTATTTGAGGGTCCCTGGGACTCATACTCTTAATTTTCAGGGGTCGCGGACTACAAAATATGGGTCCAAGACACTTAAATATTATTATCAATACTGTTATTGTATTGTGTATCATGATCATCACATTGTTACAGTAATTAAATTGCAAATAATACCACAACCCAGCTAGCAGCAAACTCAGTGATAACATATTGTCACTTGATTGGAATTTTTAAAAAGTATTTAGACTATTTCTGAGTACCTGTGGACGTGCTAATATATTTGTTGTGTCTATTTTCAATTTTTATGTGTATAGGCTGCAGGAACTCTCGTCCTGTAAACCCGTCCACTGCCATGTTACTGCTGCAGTATTGCTAAAAATGGCATAAAACTAAACTCACTCACTCACCTTCGATAATCATTCACGCAAGCAAGATTGATCGCAAACTGTCTGCCATGATGCATAACTTCTTTTAAGATGTATCTGTATCCGTATCATGTTCTTGAAATGTTTGGGCATACCACATGATCTTGCCAGATAGATGAAAGCATTATAAGGTCATATCCAACTAGCAATTTGTACTATGGTTATGTAAAATATATTAGGCCAGACCAATTTTATTTCTTGTTTTACAGATTTTTGTCCTCAGAAAACTTAAAGGCAGGAGGAGGAAAATTGTTTTTAAAAAATCACCAGTCAAAGTAATATTCCTTTTAAATGCTAAAGTATTTTACTTTGGCAATTCATGAAGTGTATATACGGCAAAAGCAATCTAAAAAACAATTTCTTGTAAGTTTACATTTTTTGGCCAATAAAACACTTGGATTTTATTTTTTGAGCGGGGAAAATTAATTTTTTTTTTTTCTTATTCTTGAAAAAATGCCACCGGAGAATCCGTAAAACAAGAAATAAAATTGGTCTGGCCTTATTTGTTTTAATGAAACAACTAGCCCTTCCAGATTTTCATTAGTCTATGACTAACAGACTACCGTCCATGTCTGTTCCTGATCTGAATCATGTTAAAATGTTCTGACCTGTATTATTATGATTATCCCAAAGAAACCTTGTGTGGTATTTATGTTTATAATTACAGAAATCATCCTAGTACTAGGCTTTGCATTTAGCTCACCTGGTCTGTACTGTTGACATTTGTCTCGAGCATGATCACTGGAAATCTTGACCTCTGAATTTGTTTCAGAGCTTTGAATCTGATTTTTTAAACACATTGTCATCGTGATAAAGTGCCAAATCTATTTATGGCGTCTTCTAAGTCATTTCTTCTTAAAATGTATTGTCATGATTTTATATTCTCTAAAATTGCAGTTTGGGCTTTGTAAACATCTCTGAAATTGCCATATGAAGGGAGCTCATCTTTGGCTATTAATGGTTAAAGCGTTTGCTCGTCACGCAAAAGACCCGGGTTTCAATTCCCCACATTGGTACAATGTGTGAAGCCCAATTCTGGTGTCCTTCGACGTGATATTGCTGAAATATTGCTAAAATCGATAGTGTCGTTAACATCGTCAATAACGCAATACGAGTGCATCAATACAAAAGACATTTAGACCACATATCAGGATATTTATATCACAAGGGTCTATGATACATTGATGTATCGCCTCAAGAGGTGATCTTTCCCGATACAAGTTTTAGTCATTTTATCTACAATATCTGTTCTGTTTTTAGAAATTGTAAAGTATCGGGATACTTATCGTATCGCCACCATTTATCGTGATGATAAATGTCTCGCAGGTTCCTTGCTAATACTTTCATGATAAATCGTCTGGCCTTATTAAACGGTATCCGGATATATATATATATATTCTCGCCACTTAGGCCACAATACACAGCTCTACCATATTTTGTTTATATCATGAGAATTTTAGCAAAATAATGATGAAAATTGCATGTCATTATAAGAATATTTTTCTCAAATTACGGTTTTTGAGGCTTAGAGTTAAAACTTTGTTTTGTTTCAATGTTTACACAAGTCCATAATTACAGAAATCAATGAACATGGCGAAATTGTTGGAGTGGAAAAATTACTAAAAATGAACTGAAAATCAATACAGAATTACAGGAATTAAAAGTTAAACACGGTTTGTATGAAGATTCATTTCAACAATGTTAGATTACGAAAAGGAAAAAAATCAAATCCTGTAATGAAAAAAGCTTCACAAGACTGTTGATCTCGTGAACGGGATCTCACAGATCTCTCCAAATCTTGAGCCCTGTTTCGAAGCTGTTCTTTGAATTCTGAAGTTAAATTTGAATTTGTTTAAAGTTGCCATTTGATGTTTTCTCAAAGCAGAATCACTCCACAAGTCAGCAGTTTTAGATTGCTAACAGTTTCAGGAGGAGCAAGATGAGCATCATGAAGTAATTATCCCTTCTTCTTTCAGGCTGAGAAGGCTAAAAACCTTCTGTTTCAAGCAAAGTATGGTCGTTTTGGACTAGGCGATCCCTTCATTGCTCTGCAGCGGGACTCAGAGAACATGAAGGATAACAGTTTTGATGAACCAGCAATCAAATCAATGTATGACAATCAGCTAGCTCAACTAGAAAACCTCATTGCTACACAACGCAAAGCTCAGCTGAAGATGAGGGAGCAACTGGCATCAGCCGAGAAACGCTACCACAAGGTAATGTATTGTCTAGGCTATGTGTAATTCAGGATTTTCTTTCGGGACATGTTTAAAAGAAAATGAAAAAGATCATTTTAGATGAATCACTCATTAAGCTTGATTGATAAAAATTGATTAGTGTGACTCATTTTGGAAAGAAAAATGTTGGAAAGAAAGCAGTGAATGTAATGTCACTGAGTACAGTGTAGTGTTACGAGAAGGCAATTGTTAAATAATGAAAAGTTCTATTCCACAATTGGTCTAGTGTCCTACAGAGCATGGGACCCGTGAAGATCCGGGTTAGACTATTGATCTTCAGTAACCCAGTTACCAGTCGTAAGAGGCGACTAACGGGATTGGGTGGTCAAGCTCGCTGACTTGGTTGACACATGTCATCGGTTCCCAATTGCGCAGAATGATGCTCATGCTGTTGATCACTGGATTGTCTGGTCCAGACTCGATTATTTACAGAGCGCCGCCATATAGCTGGGATATTGCTGAGTGCAGCGTACAACTAAACTCACTCACTACAGAGCATGGGTTCCCTTGGCACCTGATGCACAGCAATTGGCTGTACGGAGTTGCAGCCCTTGTGAATGCCAGGCACCTATGGTCATGAACTACCAATTTGCCCAGATGGTTCTTTTTGGATTCTTGCCTCCCTCTGGCATGATGTGATATAACTAAGGCTGTAGCGATGCATCAAATTATCGATGGATTGCAATTGTTGAATCTCCGATAGCAATTAATCGATGGTAGAAACGAAAAACTATTGATGCATCAAAAGTATGTGTGACTATCGATAGTTAAGTAATTGACTTCTGTTGATAGATGTGCAGCACAAAACACAGGAAGTACCAGATTCAATCACTTTGATTTAGAATTATCTGCCCTTGTTACCTCTTAAACAAACATGGCGGCAAACATGGTATGCAACTCGGAGTTTGAAATTGTGAATAACAATGTTTGTTTTAACTGTTTACTTGATATCAGATCTGGGTTTCAGGTTTTCTTGTCAGTTGTTAAAAGAGACTGAAACTACTTCAACTTGTTTCTATTTCATATAAACTGTGGGTTCATTTGGGAAATGACTTCAAATGAGACAACTTAAGGAGAAAAAAACTACCAATAGTATTCTACCGCTATAGCAATAGTTATTTCCCCCACAATAGTCACCCCTAGATATAACAGGAATACTGTTCATGCACTCAGTAGTTGCCCATTATAAATTGAGAAGGATGAAGTATGTCACACCTACATTGTCATCATGCTAATTTCACTATTGCAGTGCTACTACACAATTGCAGTGAGTGGTTGGGTAGACTAGTATTTAGAGCATTTACTCATCACACAGAAGACCCGGGGTCGATTCCCCACATGGGTACAACGTGTGAAGATCATTTCTGGTGTTGCCTACCTTGATATTGCTAGAATCGTGCTATTTGGCCAGACCAATTTTATTTCTTGTTTTATGGATCCACCGGTCATATTTTTTCAAGATTAAGACAAAAATGAAAATTAATTTTCCCTGCTCAAAAAATACAATCCTAATGTATTGGCCAAAGAAATTTTTTTAGATTGTTTTTTTTTTCCCCCTATATACTCTTCATAAATTTCCAAAAGTAAAATACTTTTAGTATTTAGAAGGAATATTACCTTGACTTTTTTTTTTTTCATTCCTGCCTTTAGGTTTTCTGAGGACACAATTTGTAAAACAAGAAATATAATTGGTCTGGCCTAAGCAGCATAAGACCATACTCACTCGCTCTTAATGACAGTCACTCACTGACACTATATTTAGGTAGCCTGGATCACCATGTTCACTGGTAGTGGGTCTCTTAACTCCAAAGTTATTCATCAGTTTAAATACCCTTGAAGATGCGGATTAGAATTTGTCTTCAGCAAACCCATGCTTCTTGTAAGAGGCAAGTATCGGGATCGTGTCTGACGTGTCATCTATCCCAACAGCATAAATTGATGCTCATGCTGTTGATCACTGGATTGTCTGGTTCAGACTTGATTACTTCCAGACTGATGTCATATAGCTGGAATATTGCTGAGTGTGGCATTAAACAATTACAAAGTTTATCAGTTTGAATTTGATCACTGTCAACAGATCAATAGTAACTAGTGCCTGTATGGTTGGACAAGTTAAGACGCAGAAACTACAACAGGGGTGGAAATAACTTTAAAACTGCTAGTGTACCCCGGAACAGTGGCACATGTAAAATCACTTGCCCTGATAATTTTTCCACTATACCGTCCGTTTTCTTGTTGATTTTTTAAATAAACAACATAATTAACATTGGAAAGTCAACTGGACACTGGTACAGTATACAAATTTGCTTGCCCGACAGAAAATCACTGGACTCGGACGTCAGGCAATGGGTTATTTCCACCCCTGTACAAGATCAGCCAAATGCAATTAAATCTGTGATATGCAGATTGGTGTCAGATTTCTGAAAATTTATGTCCACCAAAATTGTAATCATTTTCAGCCTAAGAAATTTGGCAATTTAATGATTATTGGCCTCAGTTGTAAGTGTGCATTAAATTACATAACTTGTTTTCATTTGCCCAGATTTCATGATTTGATTTGACAAGAAAGCAATGTTCATATGATGTCATTGTGAGATTACGAAGACTGAAAGTGTTTGCTCATATCATGTGAACTATTTGTGGAAGTAATATAATACTTATTGTGTATATATAACACTCAGATCTACATTGGACTCTGGTGAATGTTTCACTCAGCTATCATGAGACCATGACAATCATAACCCTGTGGCATAAGATAGAGTTACGACAGTCGTAGGGATATGATCAATTTCTGAAATGGGACCCAGATCTGTTGAAGGTTACCTGCTGCATGTTACGCTTCTATTGTAATATGTTGTTGTTACAAATTAATCTGTCATGAAGAAGTGCCTTAGTGGCATGAGGTTAACTCCTGCATGACAGGTCATGGAGAAAAGATGTCATGGTGGTATTGATGTTATTTTGTTCACATTGCAGTTTCACGATTCAGGAAACTGCCTCGGTTGTTTATGTCTTGATTTAACAAACATAAAAATATTTTAAAGTTTAATTTGATGTTTCATTGTTCATGAATATCGATCAGTCTCCGGAGCCGATCGATAATTGCTGACTCAAGCGAGATCAATTGATTGACCGATTGTTCCATCAATCGTTCCAGCACTAATTGGAGGCATAGATTTTGCTAATTTAAACATCACTTGGCCATGATCTAATGTAGCAAGGAGCTTGTTTGACTTTAGGAATAAGAGATGGTTCATTATACACTAGACTTGCAACTTGTTAGCATGGTGAAGATATGTGTAAGGAGAACATGTTGTAGGCAATGGTATTCTAATGTCTCCTCTGGCAATTCTCTGTGGTAGGTTGTGGCTGAGCTAGAAGACGAGAAACGTAAGCATGCTCAAGACACAGCTCAAGGAGACGATGTCACCTACATGTTGGAGAAGGAGAGGGAACGCTTGAAACAGGAGGTGGGCAGAAGGGTAGTTATATGTTCACTGGTCTCGAGGGGGACATGGGCTGATGTACCCATGATTTTTGTTTATGTTCCCTAAAGAAACATTGAGGGTACATCAACCCGTGGGCCCCGAGGGACCAGTGAACAACGTATTTATCTTACCGAACACCTCAATGGTAATTTTGAACTGTTTGAAGCACGGGTATCCTAGTATGGAGTACCAGACGACAAGCGAAATAAATTTAGAGTTATCTCCCTTCCATCGATTTGCATTGGCAAAACATCGGTAATTTCCATACATCATACATGATTCAATGTTGTTCGAGATAAAGCATTGCTACTACGAAGTACAAAATGAGTTCGGCATTCCCAGCGAGGTACATAGAAAATGTTACTTGCTTGTAAGCGGGGTTCATCGAAAATAATAGAAGAGCGCTCAGCCAATTAGAAGACAACATTTATGTGTGAGGCAAGATAAACTTGAATGTAGGATTATTCTTGTATATATATGTACTAGACAAATTCATAACTTTTTCTTAATGGTAGGTCTGGCAAATAGTGTTGAAGGGGTACACAGTTTCTGTATATGGATCATGGTGACCGTTTACCTTCTGTATTGCAAGAAGCAATAGTACTTCTGTCCTATGGGGATTTGAGGATAGAATGGGTTTCAGAAATTTATGCTGGTTCTGAAAAATGGCCGAAAGGATATGGGTCAGGCTGAGTGACTTAGTTAATTTCCCATCTTCATACTCCAATGGGTGGGTCATATATTAAATGGATTGTCTGGCCCTGAATAGATTATGTGCAGGCTGCCATCAAGCTGGAATACTGCAGAGTTCTGCATTGTACAACAAACATTTTACTCCTGAATGCAATAAGATAAAAAATTCAGCATATCGGGTAACCTTGTATTTCTTATGCCTTTTATTACTTCTCATAAGTTTAAGAAAACCAACATGAAACAATAAGAACCTTTGTTCTTGGACAATTTTCATTTTCATTTGACACAAATACCCATAGCTGACTAGAAAATATGGATTGTATATAATTTCCTTTTGGAAAATTATCTGTATTCTTGGAAAATCTGTCGTACAATTGACTTCATTGCAGTGAAATCTGTTCACAGGTTGATTTTGAGAAAGGACAGACCAAACGTATGGAGAAAGATCTGAAGAAGACGTTGGCAAGCCTTGAAGAGGAGAGAGCTAACTCTGCCAAGCACAAACAGGTGGCGCGCTGATGTTGATAAAGGAACGTAAGCGTCTGATGGAACGTGTGTTCAGTGAAAGGAGCAAGACGAGCCAGTTTGAACAGATTCTTGGGGAGGAGAAAGACAAGGTGATGAATATGGCCGAGGGACTTGTGCAGGAAAGCAAGAAGAGTCTCAAGATGGAGGCTGCCATGGAGAAACAGCTCAGCGAATTTGATGTGGAGAGGGAACAGCTTCGCAGCAAGCTTGGGAGAGAGGAGAGCCGCAGTAAGGAACTACAGGCCACAATAGACTCTCTTAACCTGCAGATTGATAACTCTCAGAAACAGATGCATTCGATGATGGAACGTTCCGCAGCCAGAGACGCTGTACAGAGCATTGAGATCAAGTCCAGCGTGACCCCACCGAGTAGGGGAAGTAACTCTGGCACTGCCAGCCCCATGTTCGTTGCAACTCCCGGGTCTGAAACCAGTTCCCAAAACTGCCAAACCGGGAAGTATAGACAGTCGTGGTAATACCAGTTCACCTGAGAGAGACTTTATAGCTAGGCCTGATTCTGGTCCGCGGAAACCTGTGGCATATGGGAGCCCAAATGTGTCATCTACCTCTTTGGAGAGAATAGACTCTCGAGGCGAGCAGCGTTTAGCGCCAGTTGGTGCATCTGCAGCAGAAAGGGCAGCTGATGGCAGCCCAGTGCATCGTGTGAATATACCTCCTGGTTCTAGTGCTACAGTAGTGACTCCGTCTGGCGGCAAAATTCAACTCCATGTTGGAGGCGGAGGGTCGCCCAGGAAGGTAATGCCTGCTGGCAGAGGTGCTCCACCCCCCATCCCACCAAATAAACCAATTCTCAACCCGGGCACCCCAGGACCAAAACCTGCTCCCCCTCCCAAAGTGGGATTATCTATGTCCAAGGACCGTGTTAGTGTTTCAGGGGCCGAAGTGGGAAGTGGGGAACATTCTAGTCGGATTACAGCATCGCAGAAATCGGTGCAAATTCCAGTGAATGTAGTTGGTGGACAGAACGTGGCCCCTGGGTCTCGTACGACGTCCAGGGACAGCTCTCCCATGAGGAAAACTACCCAGGTTTGTGTCAATGCAAAATGAAGGGAGGGCATGGCAGGTGGTTGAGGAAGCAATTCTGTAGACATGTAATGCAATACAAATTTAGCCACCATTGTGAGCATTTGTCCATGTGCTGCCTTGACATTGTTCTGTAATAAGGAACAACCATCTATATCCAGTCAGTTTAAGTAATTGTTAACGGAACTTACCCACTGCCCCTGTTGCTAATGTTGACTCAGTTATGCTTAATTCTGCCTTTCTCCCTTCATTTTTGTTTGAAATTTCTGGGTGACTGGTCTTGAAGTTTGTTTTGCTTACCTCAGCTTTGTTTTCTGCCATTTTGCACACATCTTCTCTTTTCCAATATTTATTTTCAAGCATCTTTCCACCACAATTCTCTGCTTCTGTTTCCGCCTATATGGAAGCAGTTCACCTAACAGTTTCACTCATAACCATGAGGGAAAGGTCAAGGCTGTATGAGCGTTAAGAACTGATATAAATGCCAAGTTTGTGTTTGTCTCTGTCCACATGATAAGAATTAGACGTCGGTATCGGATTGTGCAATATATTATGACTATTAACAGAATCTCATTGTGTTCAGTACATATTTTTAAACCAGCATTTACTCTTTTAAAAAACATATTATATTGCTAATAATGATGATTTATTATAAATTTGTTATTGGCGTAATGGCATAATATCATTAGTCATAATGAATTGTGTTAGATGCAGCTCACACATGAATAGAATTCTATGAATTCCATTACTTGTTTATTATGTTAGTTTTGTTTATATGTTCAACATAAGTGATAGACATTAGAATGCAGTACATCATGACTTTGACAATCATTAGTTGCAGTGCTTTGCATGTGTAGAAGTCACCTGATTCTGTTGTATAGCAAGGCACAGGCTTTGCGTAAGACGTAACTTTGACCAATTTGTACACAAGTAATGAATAAACTAAGGATATCTTTGTATCTCTCTCTTCTTTCAAATCTATACTGAACTGGAAGCAATCCCCACTTTTCAAACTGTCCATGTTTCAAGTTGACTGTGGATGCCTGTGCTTGAATGTTCCTTGAGTGTCACAGCCTTTGCAGACATTCATCCATTTCTAGTTTCAGTCCATTATTATTATTGTCATGATTTCAGTTCGAGATATTTTGTGAGGAACATAGTGGTGAAATCTGGCTATCATCATGAACATTTTGTTGTGGATTTTGGAATGATCATTGGGAGGTGTCATGCAAATATGTCATTTATGTTGGGTTCATGATGTATAGCTTGCATGATTTCATATCCTTTGATCATTGTTGATGAAAATGATAGTGTATACCAACATCAGGTTATCATGGAAGTGTCATCTTCATGCTGTCGCTCCATCAGATGTTCAGGTCACCATCAACTTCACAATAACACAATGTATGTCAAGCTTTCTCCTTCTGCATACTCTATAGCTACCTTGACCTGACCCACTTTCCTTTGGCCTTCACCTCTCCAGAAATTGACCTTGTGTTTCGATGTCCTTGACCATGTTCACAGTGAAATTCCCTATCAGTAGTTGACCTTGCTAAAAGTTGACCTTTATGGATTCATGAGACACTTGAATGATCGTGTATCCATAGCTTACTCATGTCAAATGACCTTTCCACAGAACAAGTCAGTCCAGTGACCTTGACCCTAATTTCCACATCCCCCCCCTCAACTATGTTGACATTTTCTGTCCCATGTTTTGTGGATCTTGATTAAATTCTTAAGTTATTAAATAGTGTGAAAGATCATAGAAAGATACTTAAGCCTGCTTGAAAGTTAGCGTATATTGTAGGCAGGTCTACTGTAATCATGACATAATTTAACCATTTCCCATAAGATCACCCTGCTGGATTGAATCCCACATGTTTGTCCAGAGTTAATGGATGTTCTGAAGAATCTACACCATGGGAATAGATTCCCAACATAACCATGATTACCGAGACAATTCTGCAGGTTTGCAAGACAGCCAGGTTGTTTCTGTGAATGGTAGTTCCATCTCAATGGCTACAAAGGGTCATTCTGGTGGTTAAACTTGAAGTGTTTGCTTGTCACGCTGAAGATCCGGGTTTGATCCCCCACATGTGAAGTCCATTTCTGGTGTCCCCTGTTGTAATATTGCTGGAATATTGCTAAAAGCAGCGTAAAATTAAAGTTACCCAATGGCTATTACTTCCTGGTTAAAAAAATGATCCACTATTGCCCACTGGTCTTTTCCAATTTGCTTCCCTTAAATCTGAAAGATATTGTGTGAGTCTTATTATGGTAAGTATAGAGTATGTAGACATTTGGTAGATTGACAACCACATAGGGTGTAAAGGGTTTCACAGACTCATGGAAATAGTTCAGTGATGGTGCACCACACATGCGTGCTCCAGGTCAAGCTCTTCATCCATCGGACACATTTCACTTTAGAGATTAGGAGCTACTATCACATGACAGCAACTCTAAAACAATAGTCTGTCTATATAACATAAAAAATGTTTCGTTTGATAGTAATTAGATTATTTTTGCAAAAGTGAGTCATTTCGTATTACATTAGTAGTTTTTATGACTTAGAAAATTAGTCTACTTTACAAATGAATAGATAAAGGGATGAAACAGATTTGCTAGGTTGTAGTTGACACAAATACACTCCAGAGGTTTTCCTTTTTCTGGCCCGGCATGAGCTGCAATGCTACTGGGAGCATGTGACTGTTCTGTGGTGCAGTTTAACCACAGACAGGTTGCCATGTGTGCATGTAATCCGTTCATGCATGATTCAGTAGACAGTGTTTGTTGTCAGACATTTTTATTGACTAATGATAAGTGGTGGTTTTATGACACAGGGCAGAAAAATAATAGGTCAGTGTCATCATCATAAATAACTGATTAACTAATAATGCTAGGGAATAGATACTGGAAAAGAACCTGGAAGGTGGATGATGATGATGATGATGATGATGATGATGATGATGATGATGATGATGATGATAGGGTGTGCATGGACCAGTCTTAGAAAAATCAGATCTTTCACTCGGACACACAGGGATAAGAATTTTTCCACGGATCCGCAGAATTCTGGGAATTTCATAAGGCCAAGGGTCATTTTTGTGAATTGTCTAAATCCGAGGAGAAAGAGCTCGTGCTCATTTTCCTCTTTTTTCACTCATACCCATTCTCATCCCTGGACACCCTACTTCTCTGTGTGGACGTCTGGCTTCAACTCCATAGAAGGTTGTGTCTGGTGAACACTGAGCATACTTAAGCCAACCAGTTACATTTTCAAAACCATTTGGCGTAATTTTTTAACCGCTTGGTTAAATATTTTGGTCATGGCAAAGAATACTGCGACATAGTGAGTAGTCTCGTAACACTACACCCTTTTTATATGTAGACGCCATACTCTTGAAAACAATACTATTTATGTTCAGGACAATAGTATGTTGGGTTTTTTTGCATTTGGTACTTCACATTTATGTGTGTTTTCAATATAAAGAAATCTGATATGCTTGTCTGTATGCTTCTCTCGCTCACACTGAAAGTTCAGAAGCCTTGATGCTGATTGGCTGATTAGAACGTTCACCTTGACCTCCTCTTGGGCTGTCCTCAGATCTTCACACAATGAGGTAGCATCTTGGAATAAAAGATCTGAATGTGATGAGATTGAGCATGGATTGAATGAGAAATTCTAAACAAAAGTATCAAAAAAGTTACTGATGTTATGAACTGACCATGATGATTAAATTTAACAATGACTAACTAAATTATTCTAATTATCATTCTTATGATCATGATTATTGAACAATTTGCATGGACTAAATAACGTAGTGTAAGACTAAGAAAATTAATCTTACAAACCTGTTATCAGTCTGATATGAATCATTGTGCATGAAATGTTAGTATTGAGAGCATGAGAATTTGAAGCTATATTTTTGTGTCGCTATAATTCTACTAATTTCACTGTGGATATTATCATGGTTATAGGGCCTGAGACATTCTAGACGTTATTACAATAGAAGCTCTACCATTAGGCGCTTGGCTGCAGTATTTGAACGGCCATGGGGCTCATCTGGATCATGGCAGTCGGAACGGCCCAAGGTACTCGAGAATGCATTCATGCATGGCCGAATCTCTCACCATTCCAGAAGTCATGTTTTTCATGCTCTGTAGATCCTTAGTCTCTCAAGGTTTTCAATTTGCAGTGAATGGCAGTTGATTTTTTTGCTACAACTATATCATCCTCTGATATTTGTCTTGTAGGTGCTTTTTTTTTTGCATCCCAACTTTTTAAGTTTTGTTTCTAGAAAAGGTTTGACATAGATTGGTGTAGATACCGGTTTGAAGGTAGGTCGTGTCTGATTGATAGCTTTTTAGCAGTCTGTCGCAGTCGTGTGTTATGGCTTGAACTCCTCTTCGCCCAAGCTTTGATTGGCTTAGGATGATGTATGGCATAGAGACAGTGTAATTTTTTCTTGGTATTACTGATTTTATGCCACGTTTCTATCTTGTAATCATATGGTTTCTGATTTTAACATGGTAAATACTAAAAGTAGAGTAAGATCTTTAGATAAGGCATGGAATTATGTTCACGTTGACAGTATTTTTCACAAATTTCAATGTGTTTTGGTTAGTTCTGGTTTTAGTCTGGTAACCATGGTAACATGTTTTTGTATTGTAATCAGTTTGTAAACTATGCTCATAATCATGATAATATCCTGGTACAAAATGTTTAAAATTTGTTGAATTAATCCTTGAGTACATCATATTCATATAGAAATAACATATTTTTTAGTTAGAAAGTTTTAGCATGAATACCTTTATGTAGACCCATGCTCTCTTGAGTAGAAATATAGCAATAATTACTAAGTAATCGTCTTTTCAGCATGATGCCAACTGTAGGCAAAATAGTTACAGGCAATATTTTGGTGGATAAGGTTGAACAGGTTATTGTTTTGTCTGGAGCCTGTGAGGTGAAGCAGTGGATAGCTAAGTTTAAAGTCTGATAACTGTAATCATTATATTGTAATATACAATCTTGATATGTTAAACACGCTGAGTCATACTGAGATAAATCGGGCAGACCTGTAGCTCTATATACTTTAATTATTTCTGGACAGATTTCATCGCACATCACTTTCACTCAGGAATTTATATGCTCAGGAAGAGCTTATAAACATGCTTATTTATAGAAATTAAAACCACCTCTTTTATGAAAGACATTTCTGAAAACCTCTTTGTATGTTATTGAAGCTTAAGCAGTTGTCCAACTCACCAGACCATGGCTAACCACTTCAGAGAAAAATGGCACATTATGCTTCAGTCAAAGTATGGGTGTTGGTGAAAACACATACAATAAACTCTCTGTGTGCTCCACTTAAACGTTTTCTTTCTCAGTTGGGATCAGATATACGCAGTTATAGAAAACTGATGTAGAGGTATTCAGTGAGAACACACAAATGTGAAAATGAGATTCCAGGTGGGGTTTTCATGAACAGTTAAGTTTGTCTATCATTCAGACATTTTGTTTTGGGGGTTTTCAGGTTGTTCAGTCTAATACTGCTTAGTAATGAGATAAAAATACATAAAAGGCTTGGTAAAGACTGCTGTCTTAGAGTTTTGTCAGTGTAGTGACATAAAGGAAAACTAGGTTGAAGAAAATGTATGATGAGAGTTACTTCCCTTCCTTTGACATTGACATTGACCTAATAGTTTTTTCTATTTCTGAAATCAGTCTACAGTCAGAGTTGGTTTCGACATTTATAAATTTTGGAAAGAATTTTGATCTGTAATTTCGTTAAATTAGATCATGCTAAATTCAACATTGAAGTTGAATAATATGTAGCTTCAAAAAAGAAAGTATTTACTTAAATATGTGAAATTTTATTTACTGATATAATCCAAACCTGGGTTCCACTGGAGATATCACTTAGTTGAGATCATGCAGTCTCTGCAGATATAACTAACATGAAACCAATTTCTTTGCCACTGAAGCTTGTTAGATTCATTTTTTATTTTTACACTCAAGACAGTGGTTTGTACTGTTCACAAAGTGAAAAGTTTGAAGAAATAATTTGCTTGAGAAATAGATGTTACCTCACCTTTGTGTCTTTTGAAATCAAATATATTTATATATCACTAAAATTTTAAACCATCTGCAAGTTTCAACTTTTATTGACTGTCATGATATATTTAAGGAAACTCTTTTTCTGTCGAATCTTAACTGATATGCAAATTGCATCATTAACTATGAATAATTGTAAACTAGGTAAAGGAAGGAGTTTGGTCCATTAGACTAAACATTCAGTTATGTGAAACACCTTTTCATTATCGTCAATTTCCATCAGTCTTAGCTTCATCACAGGGTTGTGTTTTGTGGCTTAGCATCTTCATCATAATGTTCCCACTTGCGTATCATATCATGTCATATCATTATCATATCTCATATCATATCATCTATCACATCTCATATCGTATATCATATCATATCTCATATCATATCATCTATCACATCTCATATCATATATCATCTCACATCTCACATCTCATATTTCCTATAAAGAGGTAACTAACGGGATCGGGTGGTCAGGCTTGCTGACTTAGTTGACAAATGTCATCGGTTCCCAGTTGCGTAGATCGATGCTCCTGCTGTTGATCACTGGATTGTCCAGTCCAGACTCAATTATTTACAGACCATAGGCATATAGCTGGAATATTGCTGAGTGCGGCGTAAAACTAAATCACTCACTCACTCATATCTCATGTCATGTCGTATTCTAATAGTTGTAGGATCATGGTTGAGTTGTGGCATTTCATATCACCATGGAAACTAATTTTGCAAAATATTTCAGAAATTGTAGAAAGTTTTGCTTTGTGTTCCTTCCAGTACACGATCTGGTGTCCCCCGCCGTGATATTGGTGGAATATTACTGAATGGACTTACTTAGTTAAATAGCTGATACCTTTACTGAATGGATGAACCATACCGATGAATGTTGGAACTTGTGCAATCGTTTTTGATTGGTAGTAATTAGTTTGTCATGTGCTTTTTGTCAATTTGTTGCACAAGCATGCTTTACAGTCACCAACATAGATTTCTCAGATGATTGATTTCATGTGTGCAAAGATTGTCACTAACAAAGATTTGTTTTTATTAGAAGTAATACTTTTGTTTTTGTATTTGGTTCTGTTTTGATATTTTATGTGCTTGGTTGAAAATGTAATCATTACCTGGAAAATCAGTGAGACTTAATCTTGATGCAAGTTTGGAAAGATTCAAATTTGTCCCTTTTCCAGGAAAATGACCTTCCAAAATTTCCAGAAAATGTTTTGAAATAGAGTTATGATACAAAGAAATATTTTTTTGTTCAAAAGTGTACAAAAGGAACATCTAGGGGAATATTTTATAAGAATTGCTGGGGAGAAAATTCAAAAGTCCTGATGTCCTGACGTCTATTGTCTCCAACAAAATCACCGGTTCATGCTAAAATCTAACCTTGGGCAAGACCAATTATATTTCTTGTTTCACGGATTTTTGTCCTCAGAAACCCTAAAGGAAGGAGGGAAAAAAATAAAAAATAAAAATCACCAGTCAAAGTAATATTTCTTTTGCAAACTAAAATTATTTTATTTTTCGCAAGTTATGAAGTGTATATGGGACAAAAAACAATCCAAAATTTTTTTTGTAAGTTTACATTATTTGCCAATGAAAGCGTAAGCATTTTATTTTTGGAGCGGAAATAATTTTTATTTTTTTTCTTATTCTTGAAAAAATACGACTGGCGGATCCGTAAAACAAGAATTAAAATTGGTCTGGCCTTGTTAAAGAAATCATCATATTAGATAGGTCAGAATTACAAAAAAGACATTGCCCAGTAGACGTTATGATTTGCCTGTTGAATATTTCAGTTTCCTCCTCGACCTACGCCTGCTTATTTTGGCATCTATTGATCATAAAAGCAAAGATGGTGATACAGCTCTGGAAGGAAAGTCAGATTTATGTTTGACTGTGTTGGAGCAGTGTGACCTAGACACAACAAGAAGCCCATGCAGTACTTGTTCTGTTAAGCCTGTCATGTTTAAGATGAATTACAGTAAAACAAGTGGATTTTTCGAAGAACGCTTTCAACCAAGCACATTTTAGTTGATGTTGTCTTTATTTCATCTTTATTTGCATGATTTCAGTTTTGAGTGTGCATGTCGGCATGTGCTTGATTTCTTGCAGTTAATGCCCGGTCAGGCTTTCCAATCAGCCGGAATTGTCTCCCCTCACACGCCCGCGTTGGATTTTCTGGGGCCTGAAATGGCCGACTTGCAGCAATTGCTTGCCACAATGACCAAAGGTAATCGGGGCAACAGACAAAACGCAAACCACAAACTAAAACCTACAGTACTGTGTTCGAGCTCAGGCTGCTTACAAGCTGCATTGCTTTCAATATTAACCTGCGAAATCATACGATCAGTGGCGATTTTCACACAGTTTCGAGAACCTGTTTAATACATGCCTCTGTAGAGAGACCAAGCTCGGTGCTGAATCTGAAAAACATTTGGCAGATGGTGCTTTGCTTTAGTTGTTTAATGGAGTAGAGCTTAAGGATGTCTTTTTTTTATTTTATGAGTTTAACGCTATTTCTTACATTATTTAGAATCAATTTTAATTTTTTGGATTAATTGTGGTGATTGATGTTTATAACCTCATTTATTATGCAGTTCATGTATAATGATTAACAAGTCCAAGTCATCAAGTTGTGAGGGGCATAAGTTAATTAGCCATCTTTCAGAGGATTTACATGTCTTCTTTTATAGGTATAACACACTTTAGCATGATGAAATCTTGAAAATCTCTGCCAATTTGTAAAGTGTAATTTTGCAGTATCACATTATCAGACACCTTTGACTCTTCAGGATAAGTGATATCCATCATTTCTAGACGATACACAGCCCCAATTCCTGCATCATCACCAATACACTCACATTGGATTGGCTGTGCATGTTCCCTACATGTGTATTTATGCTGCTGTTGGTGCTTAATTTTGTACAGTATTGTATTACGGGTGTATCCTTTCAGACGTGGTGTATAGCGACTAATGTCCAAGGTTAAGAAAATCCAGAGAAAGTATTGTTATCGTTTGTAAGCCATTGTTCCAAAAAGAGCTGTAGACATATCTGATATTTATTGACAGACAGATCATTTCCAGTTTCACAGACACACACCAACACATCCCATTGCCAGGCTTTGAAGGGTTCACCAAAGCTGTGAATGTTTATGACTATTACTTTCACAATGCATTCAGCCATCATACAAAGCCATTCTGAAGCAAAATGATTTTCCAGACAACTTTCGACCACCCTCACTAGCTCACCATCAAATCCCTCTATGAAACCAGAACACTAACTCACCATGATATTCCTCTATGGAACCAGAACACTAACTCACCATAAAATCAATCTATGAAACCAGAACACTAACTCACCATCAAATCCCTCTATGGAACCAGAACACTAACTCACCATCAAATCCTTCTATGAAACCAGAACACTAACTCACCATCATATGCCTCTATGAAACCAGAACACTAACTCACCATCATATGCCTCTATGAAACCAGAACACTAACTCACCATCATATGCCTCTATGAAACCAGAACACTAACTCATCATCATATTCCTCCATGGAACCAGAACTTATCATCATATTCCTCTATGGAACCAGAACTCATCATCATATTCCTCTATGGAACCAGAACTTATCATCATATTCCTCTATGGAACCAGAACTTATCATCATATTCCTCTATGAAACCAGAACTTATCATCATATTCCTCCATGGAACCAGAACTTATCATCATATTCCTCTATGGAACCAGAACTCATCATCATATTCCTCTATGGAACCAGAACTTTTCATCATATTCCTCCATGGAACCAGAACTTATCATCATATTCCTCTATGGAACCAGAACTCATCATCATATTCCTCTATGGAACCAGAACTTATCATCATATTCCTCTATGGAACCAGAACTTATCATCATATTCCTCTATGGAACCAGAACTTATCATCATATTCCTCTATGGAACCAGAACTCATCATCATATTCCTCTGTGGAACCAGAACTTTTCATCATATTCCTCCATGGAACCAGAACTTATCATCATATTCCTCTATGGAACCAGAACTTATCATCATATTCCTCTATGGAACCAGAACTTATCATCATATTCCTCTATGGAACCAGAACTTATCATCATATTCCTCTATGGAACCAGAACTTATCATCATATTCCTCTATGGAACCAGAGCAATACAGCAATTATTCTCATTATTTATCCACTAAAAATACATTTGATCTTTAAAACAACATGTCACAAAACAGAAGTCGTTACATTGACATCGGTGCAGTAAAATGTGCTATAAACATCCGCTATAAGCAGTAAAGGACCCACGACCATATTACCATAAGAGAACCTCTTGGCACTTTCATTCCTGCTCCAACATGCCGAGTAGATGCAATCAATTATTCCGGTATGTGCATTGTTGTGTGTGCATAGCCCTCTCAGCCCCAAGCTCCGCAGCACCATCACTGGTCAATAAGCATGGCTTACGCCACTAGTAGATGCCCGAAACAAATATGCCCAGCAGTGTTGATCAGCCACATTCATGCAGTATTCATACATAAGTCACACCATGCTTGTCTTACGGCCAACATCTCCCATGTATTTATAGCTGAAAAAAAGTAATCTGAAATGTAACGACTTGTAATTTTTTAGATTTGTGATGACTTGCGACAGGCATCACATCAATCAAAATGTGTTAAGGCAATTTGGTAATTGTACACCCATTACTGCTAATGGTTGCTTCTGATTTACATTAATAAAATTGCTCCTTCCTGCTCACATCAGATTCTTTTTCAAGATGGAACCTAATATTTAAAGTACATTATTTGAGTACAAGGATTTGTATAAATTGTATTGATTTTGTTGGGGGAGTTGGTGAGTGTTAAGAGTATTTGTATCTGGCAAGGACGAGAATATTTGGTGGAGTTGGTTTCAGCAAGAGCAGCTTGTCTTACATATGCCATTATAATACACATACAGATCATATAATGCATCAGATACCCTGACTAATGAAAGAAAAACGTCATCACAGATTATGACCTGTGACAAATTTGGATGACTGACATATCTTAAAAGTGCTTTCAAAAAGTTTGGTCAAGTAAAGAGGAAAGTTGGCCTATGTCAAAATATCAATGTCTGTGCAGCAGAACTTGAACTTTTCAATAAATGTTCCAGTAGATCTTTCAATGAGTCTGTGAAAGTAGTTCAGGATTATATTCAGTGTATACTCAGTAAGTCCGTAACAAACTGTTTCCTTGTGTCAAGATTGAAGAAAAAAAACCTTGGCCATGAAAAAATATTATGCCCAGTGCATTTGGATGTTCAGCCTGAAAAGAAATTGTACAGCCAACACAAAATGGGTGCTTCTCACTAGCTGAGTGGTATTCAGATATAATCAGGATATTGCTCCATCTTTAAGTGCAAAGTTATGTGGTGTCGTGATGTGCAAATGGATCTAGTGTCACAAAGCCCTGATAGATTTATACACTTTCTTCAAAAACAACTTGAAAAACATGTCCGTCTGCTCTGTTCTTGAAACACAGCATGTCCTGCTGTCAACCCTTACATCAGTCAGTGCAAATATTTTAGTTTCAGAATAAAAACATGGATGAAATCCACTTCCACACAAAAATTGAGAATAGTTGACCTGTAACTCATTTGATTTTAGTTCTTTGAAATCTGTATCTAAATCCTGAAAAAATTGTAGTTGATATTAAATGACAGACAGGGCTGTTATGATGGGAAGGTGATGGTGCACGAGAATTCAATATGACACTCAGGATGGACAGGATTGTAACTGGATTTCAGTAATCTAGTTTCTTGATTAGAAGCTTAGCTGGCCATTATAGACTAATGGAACAAAAGGGAAAGTGGAAGCCCCGCATGAACTGTTGATGGTGTTGGTAATCACGTTATCATCGTTTTCGGTAATTTGACTTGAATATAGTTGTACTCCAGTAATATTAAGTCCAGTTAACACTCAGCACAAGATCCCAGTGTCTCATGAAGCAGAAAAACTTACAGCAAAGGAGAATCGTTCACATGCTCTTGGGACTAAGAAGTCTGTCTGTTTATCTTTATTTGAATGAATGGCTAAGTCGTATTTGATGTAAGAAGCACTCAGGGTGTTTAGAAAATTGCAAATGTTGTGCTTATTGGGACTATTTGCTGGGGGTTACATTTTTCATCATCTGCAGATAAATTTTTGTCAGAGATGGGCGATAAAAAACAAGCTCACTCAAAGGTTAACTTCACTTCAAAATAGAACTGATTTATGTAACCATTGATCATTGTATAAATGGGTTAAAACATGGTAGAAATTCTCTTGCAAATTGTGTTTTCTTTGTTCCATATAACACAGACAACTCAAGTAATTATGTGGAGTGATTTAAAAAGTACAATGCACATCTTAAATTATGACTTTGTTTTAGTGGACCTATGTAACCTTTAGGTCTTTGAAAATGGCCGAAGTAGTGCAACCCTGTCATGTGAAACACTGATAACAATAAGCAGTGATATCTGAAATGAACCTGATACTGTGACCTGTTCGATTTTACAATTGTCTGATTACCATGGCAACTAACATGACATGAATTACTGGGCTGTCGACATCCAGGTAACGAGTGACATGCTGCTTATCAATTAGCATGATGAATTCTGATGTTAAATGGTTGAGACTCATGATGGTTGCTGACAGTGGTGTGGCCCGACTTCGCTGGCTTTGAGAGGCTGTCCTGTTGAAGATTTGTGATATATCATGATATACACTAATATATCATGTCTTCTCTCTTTGTTATGAAATACACTACATATATCACAATATTCACTATATATCATAAAATACCCCACATACATCAAAATATACACTATATACCATGAAACAAAACACATATATTATGATATCCACTATATCGATATCAGGATATCCACTATATATCATGAAATACACCACATATATTCATGGAAACGAATAAGAGAACACATGAAAGTACAAGTGTTCCTTTAATCTTTTTCCAGGCTCTTCACAAGGTATGTATTGCAATGAAGTATATTACTTCATTTTAATGCATATTTCATCTGAAAGTGACATTCAACGACAGATTTTATTCTGGTGTCATTTATTGTCAAAAGCGTGGGAAATAATGTACAGTTTGTGAAAATGAATAATAATACATTAAATATGTAATTTTAATTGTCTACAGTGAAGCGACTCATTTGAAATT